TTAGTATATCCAATTAAAGATTCTGACAAAAGACTTTGACTCATCTTTCTCTTGCCCAGCTCTCCTAAAAGGGTGGGCCCACTGTGCACTAGTTACTTGTCTCTGCATATGAAATTACCCCAGAACTTAGAGGCTTCTAACAGCAAACATTTATCATCTAACAGTTGTTTGGAGGTCAGAAATTTTGAACCATTTAGCTAGTTAGCTCACATTGTGCTCAAAATATCTGTGAGGAGTAAAGTTGCCTAAAGGCTTGACTAAAGCTGCCTAAAGGTTAAAGAATCTGCTTTCAAAGATACTCGGGAGCAGATTTAGCAAGTGGCAGGAAACCTGTTTCTCTCCACTTTGGATTTCCTTTTTTTTTTTTTTTTTTTTTTTTTTCTTGTTGAGACAGTCTCACTCTTGCCCCCAGGCTAGAGAGTCTTGGTGTCATTATAGCTCATAGCAACTTCAATCAAGTGATCCTCCTGCCTCAGCCTCCCAAATGGAGAGGGACTACAGATGCCTGCCAGGATGCCCAGCTGGGTAATTTTTTCTATTTTTAGTAGAGCTGGGGGTCTCACTCTTCCCTGGGCTACTTATTGAACTACTGAGCTCAAGTGATTCATTCACTTCAGCCTCCCAGATTGCTAGGAGTACCAGTGTGAGCCACTGTGGGCCTACAGAGGTATTTTTAATATGTTGGTTACCTTTTTTTTGGATATATATCCAGTAGTGTAATTGTTGGATCTTACAGAAGTTCTGTTTTTAGTTTTTAAGGATTCTCCACACTGTTCTGCATAATGGCTGTGCTAATTTACATTCCCCCCAACAGTGCAGGAGGGGTTCCCTTTCTCCACATTCCCACAAACATCTGTTATTGCCTCTTTCATAAAAGCCACTTTGACTGAGGGGAATTGATATCTCATTGTAGTTTTGACTTGCTTTTCTCTGATGACTGGTGATGTTGGACATTTTCCATATGTCTGTTGGTCATTTGTTTGTCTTCTTCTGAGAAGTGTCTATACAGATCTTTTGCCCAAATTTTTAATTGGATTATTTATTTCATTCTTGTTCAAGTTGTTCAAGCTCCTTATACAGGACTATACACCCTGTGTAGTCTAGTTATTAATCCAGTGTTAGTTGGGTTGTTTGCAAACATCATCTGCCATTCTGTGAGTTATCTCTTGATTTTGTTCATTGTTTCCTCTGCTGTGCTTAATTCCTTTGTAGCTTGCTTAATTCCACTTGTCTTTTTGCTTTGGTCGCCTGTACTTTTGTAGTCTTACACAAAACATCTTTGCCCAGACCAATGTCCAGGACCCAGAGGTTTCTCCAATGTTTTCTTCTAGTAATCTCTTGGTTTCAGATCTTAGAGTCAAGTCTTTAATCCATGATGATTTGATATTTGTGTATAGTGAGATAGGTATAAGGTTCTAGTTTCATTCTTCTGCACATAGTTAACCAGTTTTTCCAGCCCCGTTATTGAATAGACTGCCCTTTCTTGATTGTATGTTCTTGGTGCCCACATTGAAGATGAGTTGGCTGTAAATGCATGGATTTACATCTGGGTTCTCTATTCTGTTCCATTAGTCCATGTGTCTATTACTACGCCAGAACCTTGCCATGCTGATTTGGTTACTATAGCTTTGTAGAAAATTTTGAAGTCAGTATTTATGCTTCTAGCTGTGTTCTTTTTGCTTGGGATTGCTTGTGCTATTAAGATCTTTTGCCATTCCATAAAAACTGCAGGATTTTTTAAAAAAATTCTGTGAAGACTGTCGTTGGTATTTTGACAAGGATTACATTGAACCTGTAAGTTGCTTTGAATAGTATTGTCATTTTAACAATATGAAGTCTTCCAAACCATGAGCATGAAATATCCTTCCACATGTATGTGTACTCTTCAATTTCTTTTATCAGTGTTTTATAGTTTTTCATACATCCCCACACACACACATATCTTTAGCTTCTTTGGTCAAATTGATTTCCATGTATCTTATATTCTTTAAAGTTATTATAAATTAGATTGCTTTCTTTTCTTTTCTTTTCTTTTCTTGACAGTTTCCCTATATTGCCCCTCAGTAGAGTACTATGCCTTCACAGCTCACAGCAACCTCAAACTCTTGGCCTTAAGTAATTCCCTTACCTCACCCTCCCAAGTAGCTGGGACTACAGGCACCTGCCACAATGCCAGGTTATTTTATTATTATTATTTTTGTAGTTGTCATTGTTGTTTAGCAGGCTGGGGCTGGGTTGGAAACCACCAGCCCTGTGTATGTGGCTGGCACCCTAACCACTGAGCTACGGGCGCTGGTCCTAGATTGCTTTCTTGACTTTCTTTTCAGACTGTTCAGATTGTGGGCATACATAAATGCTACTGGTTTCTGTATGTTGACTTGGTATCCTGCAACTTTAGTGCATTCGTTTATCAGGTCTATCAATTTTTTAAAATCAAATCTTTAGGTCTCTCTACATATAAAATCATGTCATCTATTAACTACATTTTCCAATTTGGATACCCTTTATGTTTTCCTCTTGCCTAATTCTTCTGGCCAGAACTTTCAGTATTATATTGAATAAAAATGAGAAAGTGAGCATCCTTGTCTTAGAAAAAAGGCCTTCAGGGTGGCACCTGTGGCTCAAAGGAGTAGAGTGCTGGCCCCATATACTGGAGGTGGTGGGTTCAAACCTGGCCCTGCCCCCGCCCCCACCAAAAAAAAAGAAAAAGAAAAAAGGCCTTCGATTTTTTCCCACTCAGGATAATGCTAGTTTTGTTAGTGGATTCATCATATATGATCCTTAATTATTTTGAATATACCTAATTTGTTGAGGTTTTTTATGAAATAATGTTAAATTTTGTGGAATGTTTATTCTCCATCTATTGAGATGACCATGTAATTTTGTCTATTCTGTTAGTGTGGTATCACATTTAGATTTGCATTTGTTGAAGCATCTGTGCATCTCAGGAATCAGTTTTACTTGATCCATATTGCCATGGTTTGAATGTGTCCCCCCAAAAATATGTTTTGAAAACTTAACTTTGGCTTGGCGCCTGTAGCTCAAGTGGTTAAAGCGCCAGCCACATACACCTAAGGTGGCGGGTTCGAATCCAGCCCAGGCCGCCAAACAACGATG